TTTCCCTTTGTTCTAACTTTCGAAATAAGAAAAAAAAAAAGGATATGGACAAACATTTCGATCCAAACCCTAGACCGGACGAAACCCTAAAAGAAGAAACGCGTGCGCGAGCCATAAGGATAGCAAACGCGGTGGCATTCCCAATGGCTCTGAAAGCCGCCTTCCAACTCGGAGTCATCCAAACACTCTCGGCGGCCGGTGAAGGCGCCTGGCTCTCGCCTTCCGATATCGCGCGTGCGCTTCCCACCAGACCCACTAACCCACAGGCCCCGATGTTGTTGGACCGGATGCTCCGGGTGCTCACCAGCTATGAGATAGTCAAGTGCCGTACCGGTATGGTTCAAGCCGGAGAGACAGGACCGGTTTACGCAGCTGACCCGGTTTGCCGGTTTTTTCTGAATGCCGATGGAGAATCGGGCTCACTCGAGCCATTATTCATGCTGCTCCACTGCGATGTGGTGTTCAAGGCTTGGTAATTATAATATTTTGTGAATAAAAAGTCCACCCAAAAATGAAATTCTCATAGTTTTTACATAAACCAAATTACACTATTCAGAAATATATACTTTGTATACTGCTGCTAATCATCAACACAATCACCCTTTAAAAAACAAGATATACGAAATTAATTCGCATAACTATTATATGTTACATCCCTATTAAACCTTACAGGGGAAAAAATATTATATCATTGGTAAACACGATATGTTGACAGGAACAATCTGAAGGATATGATACAAGACGGAAGAGATGCATTTATCTCTGCTCATGGCACGAGATTCTTTGAATACGAAGGCACGAATTATGAAGGCTTCGGCGAACTGTTTAACCGGGCTATGTCCGAATCCACTGTCATGAACGTCAAGAACGTTCTAGAAGTTTATCGCGGATTCGAAGATGTAAATGTGTTGGTGGATGTCGGAGGAGGAATCGGTACCGGTTTGGCCATCATTATTTCAAAGTATTCGAAGATCAAGGGGATTAATTTCGACTTAGCCGGTGTTTTAGCCAACGCTCCCCCTCATCCTGGTATGAATCGTGATATCTTTTTCATTGAAAATGGCCTCATGCCCTATAACTAGTGACCGAACATCATTTGTTCTAGGGGTTGAGCATGTGGTGGGAGATATGTTTGTAGATATTCCCAAAGGAGATGCCATCTTCATGAACGTAAGTTTTACCTTCTAATTCGAACAACAAATGACCCACACATATATTTATCTTGGATTAAATGAATATTAATGCAGCGCATACTTCATAGTTGGACCGACGAAGATTGTTTGAAGATTCTTGAAAACTGTCGGAAAGCGCTCACCGATACGGGCAAAGTGATAATGATGGAACTGGTCAGTCCGGACCGGCCGGGACGAGACGTCTACTCGAACATTATACTCGACTACGACATGCTGATGTTGTCGCAATGCTCGGGAGCCAAAGAGAGGACAAAAGCCGAGTTTGAAGAGTTAGCCTTCGGTTCAGGTTTCATCCATTGCGAGTTCGTGTGTTGTTCTTCTCCTTATTGGGTTATTGAATTTCGTAAAGAAGCAAACGCTTGAATGTTAGCATTATTTTCTTTGAATAACACAAAGTATTTTGGTGGGAATTAAATGGAAATAATGTATTACATTCGAATATATATATATATATTCCTATAATTTTTATTTGATTTAGACGCTTTTATTATTAAAGGAAACCTATTGTGTATAACTTTATATTTGGACCTCACCACTCACCGGCACATCTGATTTACACCACTCGACCCGACTATACTTTCTTTTTTCAATAATATCATAAATGGAAATACTTTTTTCACCCATAAATAAATTTAAATTCATTTATATTATATTTATCATAATGACTTTATTATTGACACATATATAGAAGAATCCATCGTACAAAAACAAAACATGAAAGGCGGACATTTATTAGGTCAATAAAACTAATGAACAAGTGAATTTATTAAATTGTATATTCACATTAAGTTAATTAAGATGATACAAGAGTATGCCTCGCTTATATACCGACAGGCTACAGCGATGTATGTTATCTCGATGTGCGCATGCATGATCACGATGAACATTGCCTCTTTCTCGTCCAAGTACTTTTGAACTGTTCAACACAATTATTTTATCTTATTTATATAATTATAAGCTAAGACACCGACCATGTACGTGTTTTATAATTATAATCCATTTCTTATATATATATATATATATATATGAGTATGTAATTTGTTTTTCGACACATTTTTCCTTTATTTATTTTTTACTTGTATTTCCCCCACTACCTATAAATATATATATCACCTAATGGCTAATAGAGATGTCTATATTGAAATATATGAATACATTTAACCATAAATATAGATAAACATAACACATTTCATTATTTATTAATTATTAACTTATACCTATGATCCCCTTGTTTTATATATAAGATGTAGCTTTAGTGATTATGAAAAATAACTTTGTTTTAAAAAACAAATATGAGAGTGTTAAAAGAAAAGAAAAAAAATGCCAGTATGTGAATTATTTTTTTAACACATTTTTTGCTCATTGTTTATTTGTATTCCCCTCGCTATATATACACATCTATATTGAAATCTAAGAAAATATTGAACACTAATAAATATAACTAATCATAACATAACCTATTATTTAGAATTAATTTATAATTTTTTTTTCTCAAAGTTATATAGTACTACCATATGAATTTAATTTAAAACAGAAAAGTAACATGCATTAGATAAAACTATTTTATAATATTCATAAAAAGAACTATTTTATAATAATAAATATTAAAATGATATTTTGCATAAAGTTGGGAAATGGGAAGAAGGATTGCTCGGGGGACCTGTGGAGGAGGGCATGTGAAGAAAAGCGGAGAGAGCGTTTGAAATTTCGTCCGTCGAGTCCCCGAGGAAAATCTTGTCGGCGATGGCGGCGCAGAAGGAGCTCGACACGGCGGTGCGTGTGGTTCACCTCACTTCCTCTCTCTGCCGGCGAGTCCAGGAGAAGCTCCTCCTCCCATCCGAAAACGGCGGCGTTCACGTCGAGTCCAAGGACGATGATTCCCCCGTCACCGTCGCAGGTTGCCCTGTCTGAATTTCGCCGTTCCTTCCTGGATTTTGACATCCTAGTCCGTCTGTCGCATCGGCTATTTGGATAATACGTTTAATTTTGGGTTTCGTTTTTCCTGTTCTGGCATTTTCTGTTTGTGCATGATTTTCAGCGAATATAGATATGTTTGATTTCTGAGAATGATTTAGTAGATTTTAGATATCTCACCCCATCAGCAATTTTTGGGGAAGACATAGATTGTTCATACAAGTTGCGTAAATTGTGTCATTGTGTTCGGCAAGTTCGATATTGAAGATAATCTTGTTTGGGTTTCTTTTACATTCATATCCTCCTCAGTAGCAAGTGTCTTTGATAACATCCATATTATTGTCACGATTGAATGTTGTTGAATGATAATGTATACATCGCGGTGCATTTCAGCCCTGAATATTTGACATCTAGGTTTATGTGCACCACTGAGTTTGCATTTGCCTCCTATCACTTTTGTGTTGAATTCCTTGTTTTTGGAGAGAATATTACCAGTGACATTTTAATGGCGTAACCCTGACAATATCTTTCGCCAAGCTTCTTAGCCATTCATTGGCTTTTCTCTTTCCTCTTTGCGATAACCATGGTAGCATGGCGTCCTCTCGATGTTCATGGCCGCAACGCAAATAGTGTGTGATAATTGGCAGAAGATTCAATTCATGTGTTTTGTGCTTACAATGTTTTTAATATAGAAAACTCAGAGTTATGTATGAGCTGATCGTTCTGCACTGAAGAGATGGATACTCAGGAATAATACGTATTGTTTGTTGTCTGGCATACGTGCATAAGCCCACTAACCTTGTTGGTTTACAGATTGGAGTGTTCAAGCGGTTGTCAGTTGGGTGTTATCGGAAGTGTTTGGGGTTGGTAATGTTTCAATCGTTGCCGAGGAAGACACCAAGGCTCTCTCTGAGGTTGATTCATCTGGTCTGTTGGCTTCTGTCTTGAACACGGTAAATGAATCCTTGGCTGAAGCCCCAAAATATGGCCTTCCAAAGCCGGATAAACCTCTCGGCCCCTCTGAAATCCTCGAGGCCATTGGCCGATGCAACTCAACTGGAGGCCCTGGAGGAAGGCACTGGGTACTTGATCCTGTTGATGGAACATTAGGGTTTGTCCGTGGGGATCAGTATGCTGTAGCGTTGGCTTTGATAGAGGATGGAAAGGTTGTTCTAGGAGTACTAGGATGTCCTAATTATCCAACGAAGAAAGAGTGCCTAACCAATGGCTGCCGTCAAATCATGTCAAAAATGCCGGGATCAGTTTCAGATGGGTCACAGAAAGGATGTGTCATGTACGCGAAGAGAGGGAGTGGTCAGGCATGGATGCAGCCATTACTTGGTGGAGGGCAAGAGCTACGTTTTCCAAACTCTGGAAGACTGCTTAAAGTTTCGTCAGTTGATGATCCAACTCTGGCAACCGTTTGTGAACCAGTGGAGAGAGCAAACACGAACCACTTGTTCACGGCTGGGCTTACTGACAGCATGGGGGTTAAGTGTGTTATGTTCTTTTTTGTTGTTGTTGTGTGTTATGTTCTTTTCAAGTCTATAGTTCAAATATACATCCAGCTTGAATTATAGATAAGTGGATGGCGCTTTTCTTGATTGAATACTTCCCATTGACCATCTTCTGATATGACCGTAAATTCTTGCTCTGCAGAAAGCAACCTTTGCGAGTGTATAGCATGGTAAAATATGCAGCCATTGCATGTGGGGATGCCGAGATATTTATGAAGTTTGCTCATTTGGGATACAAGGAGAAGATATGGGATCATGCAGCTGGAGTTGTGATTGTGGAAGAGGCGGGAGGTGTGGTGACTGATGCAGGAGGGAGGCCGATAGACTTCTCGAGAGGAGTTTACTTGGAAGGTCTTGATCGAGGAATCGTCGCATGTTCCGGACGAGCTCTGCATGACAAAATTATCGGTGCTGTTTACGCCAGTTGGGACTCTTCCAATCTCTGAAAGTTCCATCTTCACTGGTGCAACGCAGGCGCAACAGAGCCATGTTTAAAGCATGGTAATAACACCTTATCCTCCTCAAAACATTATCCACTAACTCATTATTGGTCTTGAAGGCAATGAAACTAAGATTGCAAATAGGTAGAATTCCACTCTTGGAATATGGTGGATTCGATCAGTAGGTCCAACATATCGTTTTCCGCGGTGTTTTCATATAACATCAAATGCTAGTTATCCGATTATCGTATCTTGATAGGGGGTTTATCCAATCTTTACATGTGATAGCTTCAGATTTCAATAGGAACACTGTGGCTGCGTAATCTTAGTTGCTCGGAAATGGTAACGTTTCAGAAAAACAATGGCAGGGGCGAAGAAAGGAACTCGAGGAATAGGAATACGCACACGATGGAACTTGGTTTTACTGCTGAGGAGGATGAAGCCGGGGGGGAACCGTAGCTTACAAAAACAAAAATAACAAGGGTGTGATACCCTTTTTGAGATTTTGATACTCTTGAGCTTTTCGTTATGTTGGCATGTCTTTAGAATATAGTTGTGGACTAATTTGAATGCACGATAAAAACTTAGGGGCGGGCATATGTTATTTGATTATGTCTTGTAATACAAGGAAAGATGTGTTTTGTAACACGGGGCCCTTCTAACACAAGGAAAGATCGGGTTTTGATTTTCACATGCTGGATTTGACATCCTCGGAGCTCACCAGATGCTTCCATGTCGGGTTCCGTGGAAGAAATGTGTCCTGCCATCGCCAAACAACAGAAAGAGACATATATCAGGAGGCGATATGAACATGTTTTGTTGTTCTGATTAGGGATGGGCATTTCGGTAATTTGGATCCGAACTGAAATGATGCAATTTCTACTGTTCCTGACCCAAACCTGTCACGGAAAATAACCGACTTGGCTCGTATCTATTTCAGTGTAAACCACCGAAAAAAAAAATTCAATTTTAACCCACTTTTCGGTTGGAAAAGTCCGAAATACCCTTTTCGTTTTATTTTTTGCGAACTTGTTACGACTAACATATAACTGATATACAACTAAAAGAGATATTTTTTTGCCACTTTTTTTAAATCAATTGTAACTATATTTAGATTTAATTACGAAGTCGTAATAACGAAGTTGTTTTCGAACGGATAAATATCGTAATTTATTAAGGATAATTTTGTCTTTTCACAAGAAAAAAAATGTGTTATGTTTTTGGTGGTGTACAGTTGAATAGATGGGAGCCAATAAGTTATTTGGGTAAAAAAACCAACCTATCAACACCGAATAAAACGAATTTGTGTGTAGATTTTAAGAGTCTGAGTATACCATTTCTAAATCCACCCCTGGTTCTAAATTTCTAACGATTCGAATTCAGCCACTATGAACATCAATTTCCGCAGATTTTCCTTCATATTCCTTCGAATCCGAATTGGATCGTTTCCTATCGGAGGAAGAGAGAGAGAACGTACAGAGACGTAAGAGCAGGAGGGGACGATGGTGAAGGCGTGAGAGGAGGCGTGTTCGAAGGCGGCGACGCAGAGGAGAGAAGCCAAACCTAAACCTCGTTTAGAGGAAGGAACGAAGGTGTGGATCAGATCCATCACTTTGCCTCTAACAACGTACTCTATGTAGGCCTCTTCATCCTCCGTCTCGAACCTCCGCCGATTCTCGTTCCACACTATTTTCGGCACCTCCTTCTTCTCTCCTGATCCCCTCGCCTCCGCCATGATTCTGATCTCTCCCACTCTCTCCTCTCTGCTTTTATTCACTTTCTTAATCGATATGGTCAACGGTCAACGGTTGATTTTGTCATTATGGGTTAACGGGCCCATATCGGCCCATTATAGGCCCTTGTCTCAGCAGTGCAATGCAGTTACCGGAGATCGTGGATTCACTCGAACATGTCGAGGACAGAAACCCGAGTGTGTAAACTCGAATAAGCAAATGGATCAACTTGAAGGGTGGTGGTAAAAGATCAGATCTGAATCCTTAATCTAACAATGGTTTCTTTCTGTTTATTCATCAAACCTCAACTCCAAAAGGGTAAAAGATACATAAAATACAATGAGTACGCCAAAACATGAACAAATTCCGGTGGAAAACAAATGCTTGGATGATCAGGAATGCGACAATAAGCAAATAGATTTGATTCATCAGTCGGCACGGGATTGTCCAGCTCGGGATGAGAGGATGATACCGACGATGAGACCGTAGAGGGCAAGAGCTTCGGCAAAGATCAGGATAAGAATCATTCCCACAAAGAGCTTCGGTTGCTGAGCGTTTGCCCTGAAACAGGAACAAAATACACATGAAAACAAATCATAACAGACTCTACACACCAAAGCCCTAATGCATCTCCATGAATCCGCAAGACCAAGCCATGAGTCATGACCAGAGCTGTAGTGCATCACACAAGTACCACCTCTTTCATCTTTTGCTTTCTTCTGTACGACCTCTTTCTCGCCAAATGGTTAGATAATGTGGGTTTAGAAAGTGATTTTGGGTGAAGTTTGCAGAAACAAATCAAATTCGGTTAAGCTCAAGCAAATAAACAAAATAGCCAAAGATATAACCGGAACAGCATAATAAGGCCAGTACTAGGACAAATCTAGAAGGCGAAACAAAGTGGAAATCACCAACTCTGAGATCACACCTTGCAACCACAAAACTCAATAACTTAGGACCGAATTTTTCTTAGGTTCAAATTCGATAAATAGTTGGGGTAGCTGTTAAATGTAAGAACTTTTCATCTCTATGAATACTGCCATGCAATAACTTGCAAGAGGGTCGGGTCCACTCGGAGCATATCGCACTAATCATATCCTAATAACGGTAATCATTGATATACCCTATTTTGCTACACATATTTACTCGACCAAAGAGAGGAAACAACAGAATGTGTCGCATGTATCCTAGTACCAATGAAAGATTTTATCAAGATAGGGTGTTACCTGACACCAGCATCGCCGACGATCCCAATGGCCATCCCAGCAGAAAGGCCAGCGAGTCCACAAGCAAGACCCGATGATAAATGGGCATAACCATCAAAGAGATAGTATGACTTGGCTTTCGGGTTGATTCCAGTACTGATGATAACAGCTATAATTAACCCATATATCCCCAAAACTCCAGCCATAACCACTGGAACTATGGACTTCATGACAAGCTCCGGCCTCATCACACCCATGGATGCCACCCCAACCCCACTCTTTGCTGTCCCATATGCAGCACCCATGCCTGCCACCATCCGAATACACTCGAATCAAACACGAATACTGACGTCCATGTCCATAATACATAAGTTAGCAGAATATATATACACCATATCAATCCACTACAGTCGCAATAACGGATGAAGATATTACCCAGTGATAGCATCAAGCATCTCGAATTTTCCAATTACGGTAAATCCATCGAAGTATCGGAAGGATTTCGCACTACGCATCCGATTAATCCTAATCGTTTCAGATTTCACAACCGCAACATACAACAATCCGAAAATATCCAGTGTTTTATCGACGAAAAATGATGAATTTTGGTTCAGACAAAATCAAAAGCGGAGAGACAGATGATCAAGCATTACATGAGAAGACGAGGGCGGCCGCTGCTCCAAGGAAACCGAAGAAAGGAGCAGTCTCGTCGCCGCTGAAACCCGAAGCCATGGCGCTTGCAACTCCTTGTTTGGATGCGAGGCTACACGGTGCGGTGATCCGAATAACGGTATCCTTCGCCTGGATTAGGATCTCTGTTTTTCCTTCGAAGGTTGATCGGATCCGGGAAACGAGTAGATGATGATGGAGAGAACCGGCTGATTCAGGATTGATCTGTACGTTTACTAAAATACCCCCGTGATCGACTTGGATTGAATTGTAATTATCGCCAACAAGAGGGGTATAAGTACAGTGTAGCAGGAGCGTAAATAATTCTCAATGGCTTTCTGGCTCATCTGGACCGTACACGTGGCAAATGAAGACGCCTACTTTTTTGTATTTTCTGTTGGTTTTCTACTTGCTTCTGGGCACAAGTTGTGTGTTCAGACAAAAGAGTCAAAAGTCTTCGACGCCATTGTCGTCCAAGTTCAAAGAGCATAGAGAGAGAGAGAATGGGGGATACGAAGGTGGAGACAATCTCAAGGTTAGCGCAATGGAGGATCGAGAGCTTTGGGCCGTGTTCTTACAAGAAGTCGGATCCTTTCAAGGTCGGAATCTGGAACTGGTAAACGCTTAGGGTTTACTTCTTTTGCCGGAAAATTTTCTTCTGGATTTTGTCGGATTCTGATTTTAGTTACCCTGTGGTTTTCTTATGGATCGAAGGCATCTGTCCATAGAGAAGAATCGCTACTTATACGTACGGCTATTCCCAGAACCTTCTCGAGTATCCAAGGAGCAACCTCCCGTTGCTAGATTCATTCTTCGTGTCTCTAATGTCGGCCCCAATCGAAAATTCTACATCTCTCCTGGTACGCGGTCTGAAAGTTCCGATTTTTATTGTCAGATAAATTAGGGTTTGCCGAAGCAAAAAAAAACGTTTGTTAATTATGCGTATGATCAAGGTGGTTTTAATGCTCCGTACGTTAATTAGCTTCTTACTGTGTGATTGATGTAATGGCAGATTCTGTGGCATCTTATGGTTGAAAGTAGTTTCATTTCCATATGATTGTTCTTACATTATTAGATCGAAGATATAGATTCAGTTCTGTATTGTATGGTTTGGTTAGACCTTCCTGCCTGGTAATTTCACAGTTCTAGTGATACAGATTGCTAGCGGTTTAATCCCTCTTCCTTATTGTTTAGGGTTTCATGTGGGAAATTCGATATATATACACACACATATATGTGTGTGTGTAACTGTGTATGTAACTGAGATGTGTGTAATATATGTTATTGTACCTGTGGTGCAGTTCATGAAAGACTGCTCCGCACATCTGAAGACTTTGTGTGGCCGGTTGACTCGAACTTCCTCGGTCGGTTCATCATCGATGTCGAGTTTCTTGATCTCAGATTATGCCCTTTGAATGTGAGTTCCAAAACACGTAATCAACCTCTCTATCTAGCATTAACAACAAAACCCACATGACAATTTGAAATGCTTGGAATCGAAACCCAGGGCGGTGAGGCTAGTCCCGTGTGGCCAAATGACGCGATGATGCAATCCGTCTCGACAAAGAGCACGCTCCAAAGCTTGTCCCGGATGCTTAAAGAGGGCATCCTATCCGATGTCACCATCCACACTTCCGATGGCACGCTCTCGGCCCACAAGGCGATTCTTTCGGCTAGCTCAACCGTCTTCAGGAGCATGTTCCACCATGACCTCAAGGAGAAAGAGTCATCCACCATCCACATCGAAGACATGTCCCGAGAATCTTGCATGGCTCTTCTCAGTTACCTCTACGGTAACATTGCTCAAGAAGACTTCTGGAAGCACAGGTCAGCAGGGGTGGTCATTTCAGTTATTTCGGTTTCAGAAAAACTATAACCATTCGATTTTGGATATTAAACCCTTACAGGTTGGCGCTTCTCGGGGCAGCAAACAAGTACGATATCGTGGATTTGAAAGAGGCATGCGAGGAGAGTTTAATGGAAGATATAAACTCGGGGAATGTCCTCGAGAGGTTACAAGAGGCGTGGCTTTATCAGCTCGAGAAGCTGAAGAAAGGGTGCTTGATGTATCTGTTCGATTTCGGGAAGATATACGATGTCAGAGACGAAATCAGCGCCTTCTTCAAGAACGCCGACCGCGAACTTATGCTCGAAATGTTTCAGGAAGTGTTAACTGTCTGGAAACCTGTCTGAAAAAAGGGCTTAGCCGATTTCCTTCGGTCATTTGTTTTATTGTTCGCTCTCTGTATTTGTATAGCCATCCTTCTCTATTACTATTTTTTTTGTTTTGGCTCGTGATTGTGCTCGTGTGTACATTGTCACGGTTCTTACATGTGCTTATGGTCTTTGTCCTATTTTGAGGGTTGGTTCAATCCTCTCTAAATGGGCCGGTTCACGAAAATGGGCCTTAACCAGATGTGAGCTTGGCCCAATAATAAGAGATTACCCATCTTCCATATATAGAGTGAAAGAGCCCAGTATCCATCTCATTGTGCATCACATCCACATATACACACCGTTTTCGTATACAAAAAATATAAAACCAAATAACAAAATCTTGGATATGGTAAATCTATCTATCTATCACAAAATAGTCGTCACATGCATGTGGCTTTAACTTTCTATCCAGAAAATATGATGTGGACTTCCAACTACTCTAATTGCAACATCTTTTAAAAATTTGTTTCATATATATATATATATATGTATATATATATATATATATATGAAATAATGGCAAAGGCTATAATAAACAAACAACCCTTTTGATCAACAGTCTTTATCTCGATGATAAATTTTTTTTCTTCTCTTTTCCGCAAAAGATAGGATTTTGGATCAATTATAAATGGCCATTTTATCTAACCTTGATTTGTTTTATAAAATCTTATATATTCTGTTGCTTGTTAGGTACACATAAATCTAATTAGTGGTGGTCCATTTGAAAATGATCATATGGTTAAGAAGTAAATGGTGTCCCCTAATTAAACTATAGGACTATATGTAATATAGCAAGATTTATCAGAAGTTTTGTAATATGTCGATTTATGATATTTATTGGTTTAGTCCAATCTTTTTTTTTAAAAAAAAATATTCATATATAGAAAAGACGTTGCTTTTCTACTTTCCTTGCAGATGAAAAAGGAAAAAGCTTCTATGTGGTCAATCTCAATAAGATGTTGAATTAGTCAATATATATGTGTGTGTGTGTGTATGCATCTTGTCAACATTTTAGTGGGACCAAAGAACTACCCATCCATACGACCACATTCTATACGAAAGCATGCATTAAATTCTATATCCAATCGAGACTTTGTTATAAATGATCACATTTGAAAGATCTAAATTATAGAAGATTGATATATTTGGATACGTAGATAAAATCTTAGAGAAATATTTGCAAAATCTATTTAAAAAAAAAGGTTAATAATATAATCCAAGGGAGAGAGAGAGAAGAGAGAGACAACTAAAGGACAAGTTATGGCATGCGCTATACAAACAAAGGCTTATGGGTCTTTCACAAGTTTTTTTGGTCCCTCTCCTTCGGCTCCATTGTTTCCCACTTATGTGTACAGCCTAACATGCATACATTAGACCTTGCCCTTGTAGTATACTATACATACATATATACATATACATATACATATACATACATATATATATATATATATATATGTATATAAGAAAAAGAAGAGAGGAAACATTGCAAGAATCCCAAGACTTTATTTTAAAGCAGATGTCACTGTGTTTCCCTCACCCTTTCGCTTTTCCTTTTGCTTTTCTTTTTATTGTTGAAAGCTTTCCTTTTGAAATATGGTAAAGGCTATATTGACCCTTCTATCTTTCAACTATACATATTTAGCTTTATCAGACCACATGCATTATGCATACAAAGAGATATGATTCTCTTGTCCCTTTCTTTACATTTTCATTATATATATATATATGTATATAATCAACACAATCCCGAGTTTCAGTTGTTGATAAGATAAACACCGAGAGAGAGAGAGAGAGAGAGAAATAATTGAAAACCAATCTTAAGGGAAGTTTATTACTTTTTGGTTTTCCTCCTTGTTAAGGTCCTCGCCACCCAACCTAGTTTTCTCACCTTGACTCCCTCCACCTTGGACGCCACGTGGCAAGAAGTGGACCCTCTGAGCCTGATGAGGTGGAAGAGGTGGCCAATCCTCTTGCGCCACCTCAGCGATGACCTGGCCTTGTGATGCTCAATCACACTCTTGCTTGTATCCTCCATCAATGGATGGTGTTGGTGCTTATTCCATGACTTGTTGTTGATGTTTTCAAGAGAGGCTTTAGACACTGTGTTCTTCTCCCATGACGCGTTCCCATTGTCTTCGAATTTTATTGAAATAAATGAATCTATAACCAAAAATAAAAATATGATGTCAATATTGAATACAACATTTAAAATTTTTTATAATCATCCCTCCAAATTAATGATAATTAATATGGGTTACAAGATATAGCACCCCAACCCCAAAACTGCATCATGCATATTTATAGATTAATTAGGACCAAGACTGGAATTCACTGTCTACACATTTCATCAAATTATGCACACGTCTTAGCAAAAATAAAAACACACGCACACACAATAGAATATACGTGATTTATATATATCAATATAATATGTTATAGAGTTTACTATTATAATATATATACATATGATGGGTATATATATGTATGTGAATATTCATGATACCTTCCTGGCTGGTAGAGGTGTCTAGGTCGCCGGAAAGATCGAATTTCCGGTGACGGAGATCGAGAAGGTTGAGGAAAGAACCAAAGGCGAAGATCTTTGGGAGTCGGAGATTGTTGCTTCCTCTTGCAGAGGATGATGACGAAGAAGATGAAGCCGAAGAGTGCTTCTTTTGCTTCGATGCCAACACAAGAAGCCTCTCGTTCAGACAAAGCGGGCATACCCCTACATGGATCTCTTTTGGGTGGAAACAGCAGTATGCCGAGTGTTCTTCTCTGTTCATGTTCATGACCTCCTCTGAGAGAGAGAGAGAGAAAGAGAGAGAGAGAGAGAGAGAGAGAGAGAGAGAGAGAGAGAGAGAGAGAGAATGTTGAAAGATAGCGAGGAGGATGGGTTTGGTAGAGGTGAAATGGGTTTATTCTTGAAAAAATAAAACTGAAAATGAACACACGCACACACATCTAGGATCTAACACTTTCTATATTTTTTCTTCTAAAACCAATAATTAATGTATATATAATTACTTTTTAAAGATTATTTTGTACTACTAAATAAATGTCCTTTTAGATTTTTTTTAAGAAAATTTCTAATTTTAACCTTAATTAAAAATATCCAACTAATATAGTATTAATGAGAATGTGATTTAATGAGGGTATATATAAATTTTTTTTTATATTTGTTTAAAAAATTGTGAAAATTTTTTAAAACGACTATTATTTAAAAACAGAGGAAGTATACAATTAGAGCATTTAGAATGAAGATATTTTTCTTGATCTTTCAATAAATAGCTACATCAAGAATTGCTATCATTGGATACCAATATACAAATGGGTATATATATATATACATACATACACACACACACACACATATATATATATATATATATATATATATATATATATATATAGAGGGGGGGGAGAGG